CAAGACATACAGTAAGGGCAGGAATTCAGAGGGAAAGGAGCTGTTTTGAGCTCTGCTACTAAAAACTGCTTCTTTTAACGTCATACGTCAAACGCGTCATATTACGTCACATGTGGGAGTTAACTTTCTCGGACTTGTTCTCTGCCCAATCCGCGGTAGTAGTTTGTAGTTGGTTTGAGCGGTTGTGATTTAGTGAGCTGGTATTTTTTCGGTAATTTTACATTGCATTTCACCATTTGTAATCATGGTGAGCTTGTGTTTGTGCAGGTTGCACAAACTCCAGCCTGTCAGGGCATCGAGTCCACAGTTTCCCTCACGAGAAAAGGACCGGAGCTAGCGTTGGTTCCTGGGTGCATTGTGCATCCACCTCCCTGCAGCACATACTCCGTCTCCACAGCTTTATCAAGAAACCGTATTACATCTCTCTCCCCCCCTTCGCTGCTCTCTCTCTCTCCCCTCCGGTACACGGCACCGTAAGACCTAGGGTGGAGTTGCATTAGGTAACGCTGTTCTGGCTGTACTGCTCCAGCCGTCTCCTTTGTGTTTGTTTGTTTCCCCCTGTCTGTGTTGTTTGTGTGTGCGTGGTGGCTGTCACTCCTGGCTCCCGGCTCAACCTCCACTCACCTGCTGCTATCAGCTGTGCACCCTCTCCGACTACACACCTGCTTTCCATCAAGCCATTTACAAATCTAGTGTATTCATCATTTTCCTACACATTTATTCACTGGTGTCTCTAACCTGCAAGTTGCTCTTTAAGGCAAAGGAACAAAGGAGCTTCAGCATGTTTTCAATGTAGTGTACATGCTCATGGGACTTACTGTTTAGTTGGTTGATTTTGGTCTTGGCTCCCATGAAGACCTTTTTAGTCTTTTCCTCTTTGTCAGCTATCTGCTTTTTGAGCTGCTCCTCTCTGGCCTTGCTTTCAGACATCTGCAGGGGAACAACAAACAACTCAAACTGCTACTCCGACATGATCAAAGGTATACTACAACCCCAATATGAAATGCAAAAAAACCAATAATATAAATTGTGATTTATGAAGTACCTCTTGTCTGAGTTTTGCAAGCTCCTCTTGTTGGGCATGGTTAGCGTCAGTAACAACGTTAGCATCACTGGCCTGGATGGACGGGGAACTCTGGTTCTGGCAGGCCTGCGTTGCTCGGTTAGCTTTGTTAGCTTCAGTTAGCTGCTCCTGCAGACGCTTGTTGTCGGCTTCACGCTCTTCAAACATCTGACAAAAAAGGGACAATTAGTAATGAGACATTTTAAAAAATAGAGACCCGGTTGCAGGTGAATTGGATATGAAGGAAAGGAAATAACTTGGGTTGGCAAAAAAGTAGGGAAGGATGAGGAAAATGGATTAAGGGAGAAACACTTGTGAATAAAAGATACAGATTCATTGGTTGCACTGATGAATTGTAATGAAAAATCAATTGATTGAAAAAGGACTAAATGCCAACCATTAGAGGTAAACTCTGGCTAACTAATGACGTTGAACCCTTACTAAAGTTGCTCCATACTTCTATCAAGTAGATTAATCCAATGACTTCGTACTCTCTTTGAATAATACAGATGTATCACCACTAGTGGTAGTGCTGTTTCTAGAAGAAAAAGGTTTTCCAAACCTTCTGCAGGCTGTCCAGGCGGCCCTGAATCTCAGTCACCTGTTACGAGGTAAGCACACTTGTTAGTAAGTATTGAAAATAATCCTCAGCATGATCCTTTTGGGAAGAAACTGACCTTTTATGTTACAGAAATCAAACAGTTTGAATTAAAAAGGTATTATGACTTAAATATGTTCTCAGTAAGTGTACAAGAAAGAAAGGCTGAACCTGGTTTTTATCACAGGACAAATATTAAAGTAAGGAAGTAAACTTTTAATAATACATTTATAGTCAGGGGTGCACATAAGTGGTAAGCAGGTACGCATGCGCGGCAACAATCTGAAATGCGTACCGTCACTTGTGTCAAAAAGAGCATTTGTGTACCGACATACATGTGAAGCTTTTCCAGAATGCGGTTAGATCACCGGACGACAGAGTCGGTCTCCGTGTGCACAGACAGGGCTGCTGTTAACGTCGGTCTGTACAGCAGCACTGCGCTAAAACAGCTGATCACAACGTTCACACGCTCTGTGGTCACGAAGCTCTGCAATCCACTACCACCCCCCCCCGTTGACATTCGCGATACAGGGGGCTTCATACTCCACTAGCACCCCCCACCCCCCCGCTGATATTCGCGATACAGAGGGCTTCATGGGAACTTTGAGGGGAGCCAGAAGTTGGAGTACCAAACACTGACTCCAGGTACTCATCTGAGTACCTCACTGAGAAAGTTGTGTGCACCTCTGTTTATAGTCAATATTTAGCATTGTGACGCAAAATGTTATGTTTGTCCTGGTGACAATAATTGTAAATGCAGTTTTTTTTTTAGGAAAGACTCGTTCTTGAGCACCTCAAAAAATGCCTCCTATACTGTGTGTAACAGTATTCTTAATGTTTTCTAAATGTTAGTACGTATTGTAAGGCGCTTTAGTAGTCAAACAATAAATGAAGATATCAAGAAAAAGAAGGCTCCTAACCTTGCTCTCTGATTGGCTGAGAGCAGTCTTGAGGTTGCTGACTTCCTGGTTGTGGCTCTGTTGACTGCTCTGATTGGTCTGCTGTAGCTCCTTCTGATTGAGCAGGTTCTGCTGAAGGGCCTCTTTAGCCTGCTGGAGCTCCCTCTGGATCTGCTGGATCTGGTTCTGCCGGGCCTGAGACTGAGACTGAGCTGCTTTCAACTGGTTCTGGAACTTTAAAGTCAAAGTTAGTCAGGTGGCTCTTTTGTCAAGTGGATTTATTTTGGTTCTTGGGTTATAGAGACATTCATCTCTGCCAGGTGCTGCTGTGATCTTGGCAGTTCTTCTTACCTGCTGGCTATGGGTCTTGGCTTGCTGAAGCTCTTTCTGACTCTGGGTCAGCTGGTTCTGATTCTGCTGCTGTTGAGTCTGGATCTGGGACAACTGGGACTGGACCTATAGAAGTAAAGAGATGACAACTTACCCTGTGAGTCCTGCCTTTCTAATGTGTTCTACAAACCCCAATTCCAATGAAGTTGGGACGTTGTGTAAAATGTGAATCAAAACAGAATACAATGATTTGCAAATACTACCAAAATTAAATTGAATACCCTACAAAGGGAAGATATGCAATGTTGAAACAATATTCACTCATTTTGACATTGCCCCGGCTGAAATATGCTACAGCATTACTACGTCTAAAACTGTTCCAATACAAATATTTGGTATATCAATATTTTAATAAGGTAGGACACTGGTTAATAATGTTGTAGCGTGTTCAAGTAACCAAGGGATAAAGTAGTTATCAAATAAGTATAAGATGTGCACAGTTATATGATACGTTTTACAGTTATGTAATGCACTGTTGTTGGGGGGAGAGACCGCCCCTTCCATGTGAGTGTGTGTGTACGGCTGGCATGAGGCGCGCATGATGGGACGAGTTGTGTTCGTATGTGGAAGTCATACTCAGTGCGGTGAACGCTGGCTTTATTGCTACTGTATTCGTAGCACCGCACGCAATAGCTGGGACTGTGTACTGACGTCAGTAAAAATGGTTTGCTCCGCCGAGCGCAAATGTCAAACTCCGCCTATGAGGTGAATCGGTTCATTTTAGGGGTGCACCGAATGGGAAATTCTTGGCCGAAACCGATACCGAAAATAGGAAACAGTTGGCCGAAAACCGAATGCCGAAAATGATTAATAGAAATATATATATATATATATATATATATA